CATTTGTTGACATGCGACCCTGTGGTGGTGAGATCTATCCAAACAAAGAGAGGGTAAGGATTACAATCACCTAAACTTTTAACTTTAAAACACAACCCCGGGATAGTTGAGTGAAAAGAATAAGTTTGGTGGGTTGTGTAATGCTCCGAAAATTTTATTTTATTTATGATTAATCATTATTGTCTTGGCTTTGGGGAGGGGATTACGTGTCTTAGTTTCAGTATAAGGTTTGGGGGATTTAATTGTCTTGACTTCCACCTCATTTGATAGATCATGCACATGTATTTTAAGGGAGCAAAACTTGCCTTAGTGCTAGAATTTCATTCAACCTCCCATAAAAAATATTACAGTTAATCAATAATTATAGAAAATTTTGGGGATCATTACCTAGAAATATCAATTTAATTTGCATATGCATGTGACTTGTAATATTTTTACATTTACGACTGGGTAGTTTGTAATTAACAATGCCCTTAAATATCTTCTTTCATATTAAGTAAATTTCTCACAAATTGCTAGACAAATGGTAAGACACGATTTGGGCCTCTGACAAATATTCTACATCCCCATCAAAGTTAATTATTTTGGGGTATATAGTCCAATTAAACTTATAATAAATTATATAATTATTTATTTTATTTTTATATGATTTTATGTTATTATATGATAACCTGTCATTTTATGTAAATTGATGCAAACTTGATTATTCTTATATTAAATAGATTATAATTAATTTAACTTGATTGATATCCAAACAAGGAGTTTTGTAATTGGACTGATTAACGGAACTAATTGGCGAGATTCTGCTGGTTAGGTTGCATATGTTATTTATTTGATATAATTATTTTACCGTGAATAATTATATTTTTACAGTTAAACGTATCTTGGACGAACGATCGACATGCCTATTAATTTAATTACGATATGTTTATAACTTTATTATAGTAGTTATATTTATACGTTATTACATGCTCACGATTCGTCTCGCTTTAGGATTCAACTTAGAAATCATATTAAAATACTGTCTCTTCTCGATCCGTGTATTTTGTATCATTTAATGTAAAAATAGCATGTGGAGAACATTATAATCTTGTAATTGGTAAATACTAATTTAAAGTGTTAATCAAGTAAATGAGGTAATTTTGGATGTTAAAAATTAATAAGCATAAATTGTGCCTAATTATCTATAATCATTAGGTCGAAAATGAAGACTTCTTACCTAGATTGACCACTGCCTTTTAAATGATTTAATAGTATAAAACGGGGCCTTGCTAAGTGATTAGCATCAATTATATTTATGAGACGTCATCAGTTTAAAATAATGTTCTCCTATGCATATTTACTTTTGCATTGGATTACACTTTTGGATGTTAAAAATTAATAAGCATAAATTGTGCCTAATTATCTATAATCATTAGGTCGAAAATGAAGACTTCTTACCTAGATTGACCACTGCCTTTTAAATGATTTAATAGTATAAAACGGGGCCTTGCTAAGTGATTAGCATCAATTATATTTATGAGACGTCATCAGTTTAAAATAATGTTCTCCTATGCATATTTACTTTTGCATTGGATTACACTTACTTTGATCAACTACACGTTCACATCCTCACAGTATCCAAAATCTTGATTTTTGCTTTGCAATCATCAATCAACTCATGATTTATCATAAAATATATTTTCGATAATTTTCTCGGCATATAGACTCGGCAACGGCGAAAGGTTTTGGGAATGTGAATTTCCTACTTCCAACAATTTTATTGTCAAAAGAGGTAGGATACTTTTATGTGCAAGTGATATGTCCTTTCAATATTATGATTTTTATGCGTGATATATTTCATGAAATGCTAATTGACCTACGGGTCCCAATGAAATGAAATGAAATGTGAAATATAATTTACAATTTAATTCATTAAAATATCGTTTTACATACTGAGTTCATTCCAATTTTCAAGTTTACATAATTAAGGTTTTACTAAATTAGGGTTTTTTTTAGAATAAATTTCTGTTTTGACAAATTTGTTTCGGTTAAGGCTAAAATAGTTAGAATTGAACTACTCAATCTCTGTGGGACGATATTCGAAACTTAACATTCCACTTTATTACTTGTTAACGAACCGTACACTTGCGGTGAATTAAATCGAAAAAAATATTTCGTAAACAGTGTCACAATGAGTTAATTTAATGAATGATCAACGAACTTTATTATAGGTTACTACCTGGTCAATGATCTTTAAAAAGTTATTCGTTGCTCACTGAACTTTGCTATAGATTACTACTTACTCATCAAATTTACAAAGTTACTCATTGTTCAACTAGATTTGAATAAAATTACTTGTTACTCATTAAACTTTGCAATAGGTAACACTCCTAGAAATGATATGGGTGATTAATGAGTAACCTTATTTAAAATTGGGTGAGCAATAAGTGATATTTTAAATTTTATTGAGTGAGTAGTAACTTATAACAAAATTCAATGAGCAAAGAGTAACCTTTTTTATCTCAGTGATCAAGTAGTAATCAATAACTAAGTTCAGTGATCCTTGATTAAATTAACTCGTGTAACAATAGTTCCATTATTATATAAATTCGTAATCATCGCGGCTCTAGATAAATAGTAACATTATTCTTTAATGAATTACCGACGAGATCAAGAATTGATGGGTACACTTTCACTACCAACATTTTAACTTCAAATCATGAGTTAAGACTCGATGAATTGGGCAATCTCATCGAACAGTTTACTGTATAGTATTGCTTAAGTGCATGTTTGGTATTGATTTTTCTTTTCAAAAAATTGATTTTTTTGACCGTTAATTCAATATTTCAGCTGTCATTTTTTGACTTCTTCTCTTATAGGTGAGACTCACTTTTCTCTTTAACGATCAAAAAATCAATTCTCAAAATCACTACCAAACAAGTCCAAAGTTAGCGAGGTTTTGTTGGGAATAAAGGGACTTCTCTTTATATGCGTGCTGGTTGGCCTTCCCTGCATTAACAAGGGTTAAGTAGGGGACGAAATGGGTAGACATTGAATTATTTAATTGTATGTTTGTTATATGAATTTTATACTCCGAGAAATATTCGTGGAAACTATTTGCCGGTTTCCCGCCAAAATGCTCCGGCGGAACAGTATTCTGAATGGTTGCCGGCCGGCAGTGGCGGCCCAGTGGCTTGCAACCGCGTGGAGACCAAAATATGGTTGCAAATATGATTTGGAAAAATTAAAATTCAAAAAAGGGGGGGAAGTAAAGAAAAATTAACGTTGTTATTCTCAAATATGGAATCTTATTCTTCATAGGATTCCTTTTTAATGCCATTAATTTGTGGATCACAATTCGTACCTTCTTTCTTCACCGTCTTTAATGCATTGGATTCCTATCCATTTATTTACCCTTTCATTAATTCCAATCCAATTATGTTATGGCATTTCTTTTCTTAAACTTAGCAGCTTATAATTAGTAAAAATTAATTAATTTGTTATAGAAAAGGCTTTTAATTTGCTCTTACCATTTAATCTTTCTTATTGTCCCCACACGCTAACAATTAGCAACTTTATTATGGAAACTCGGTTAAGATAACACTTTGTAATAGTATTTAAAGGTATAACTTTTCTGGAAATGTCTACATGTACATAATTATTGCACATAATGTTGTCCATAATATGGTGTGACAATCATTCAGTTATTAATGTGAAAGTGTGAGATTTGAATTAAAAATTGGATCCAGTGCTACATCTGATTATAGACACCATTATATAGATAATTATGTGCATGTAGTGCTTCCCAAATTTCTTTGAGTCAATCAGAAATAGTAACTACCACCAACATAAATATGGGACTTTTAAGGAAGTTGACTCTTTTTGTTCGTGTCTGTTGACTCTTTTGTTGCACTTGAGCATAATCTATACTAGTCTTTTATGTCTGCTAGAATAACATTTGATTAAATCTATTTTGATCTTGATATAACATTACGAAAGCAATACTCACCACCACGTCTAAATCTTGCTCCATTTTTATTCAAATACAAATTAAGGTATTGACCTCTGTATCGTTAAACAGTGTTCTAAAAAATGCAAAATGGAACTAGACAATAACATCAAACTTTGAGTTTTGATCCAAAATAAGCGAGGTATTTTTTTCTTATTTATTTATTTATTTATTATTATTATTAGGTAAAAATGTTCAAATTCATCCTTAAAAAATCTGAAGGGCGCTCAGATGAAAATAATACAGATTGTATATATCTATAAATAGAAGGGGTTGGTTTATTAAAGCCCAAATGACAAGAATCTGACAAAAACTTTAAATTCGGCTAGCATTAAAAATGGCTTTGTTATTGAATGCTAATCCCTATATAACTTTCTTTTATACTAAAGAAGCCATTGCATTTGGTGAACTTCCCCTTATCACCTTTTAAACAAATCACTTTGATTATGCATAAAATCTTCATTACTTTACCTTAGTTTATTCAGAATTAGCAAATAGCAATACTTTAATCTTCACAAAATTTAAGTAATCATCACCATAGCAATGTTTAACCTAGTCAACATTTTGACTTGTTCGTTCTTGTGTTGAACTTTTCTTTTCTTTCAGGTGAATTCAACTCCGACACGTTTGTCTCAAGTTAAAAGCAACTTCTTTTTAATTTGGCGCTTGTTTGAAATTATTTAAAAAGTTGTTAAAATTTGAGATTACAACTAATAATTAATTTTAACAACTTTTCAATTAAACATTTCATTAATTTTTATCAGAATCTACTCAAATATTTATCCAAGCTTTGTCAAACAATCCCTTAATTGGAAAATATACACGTACTCTCCAATAAGCTAATTGCACATACTAAAATAAGCTGCAAAAAAGTAGTTTTAATGTTAGAACGGCGAGAAAAAAAATGGTATCGTGAGTTTCAACAGAGGAGAGCCTAAAAGGCACAATATAGGAAAGAATTGAAAAACTGAACTTTCAATTAAGCAAATGAAACTTAGAACACCAGTCGATTCATAAATGATATTACCACCTATTCAATCAGAAAAACAACACATTCGCATGTTAAATTGGAATCCCATTCTCGCTAACAATTCTTGGTTTTCTAGGAAATTACAACTAAAAGGGTTTGCTTGACTCTTGAGTAGTAAGAATGAGTGATTGCTCTTCTTCTTCTTCTTCTGCGACCTGTTACCCCACTTAGCCTAAAATACTAATCACTATAACAATCAAAATAACCAAAAATAAATCATTAAATGACATTTTTATGCTCTCTCAGTATGGCGGATGAATATCGATTCCAACTCCGGCGGATTAAAGAATTCCCTAGTACCGTTAAAATGACATATGGCGGTTGGTCGGCGCTTCCTCGGTGCCGGCGGGCAAGGCAATTTCTCCGGTATCTTCGATTCTCGTGCAGTCGGAGTAGTAGTGCATTCACTATCTTCTTCAGATTCCTCTTTCATAGGCTCTTTGGATATTGATTTTAGTGGAGCCCGGATTACGATCCCGGATAAAACCCATTTCTTACCTTCTGATTCTTTGCCTCCGTAAATCATGTTTAATACAGTAAAAGAAGAAGAATAAGCTTGATTACGTACAAATTCTTATAAGCTGAGAAAGAAGGGGAAAAGTGATTTTTTGAGGTGCAAAATGAGAGAAAATTTTGTCTTTGAGAAAGAAAGAGAGATAGATTGACCTAATGGCGGACGTCAGCTGTCTAATAAAATATATAGTATAGAGAAATACATTCAAATGAGACAGTCAACTGATTTGAAGAGAGAAGGATGAAGCTGCCCGTCGAATTTGGGCAGCTGAAACCGAGTGAAAATTTTGAGATTTTGGCGCCAATTTCGGCGTTAGTATTTGGCCAGCGTAGCATAATAATAAGTAATTTTGTCTCAATCAAGGCTAAATATTTGCACACGACAAATAAATGTTTGATTACATGGAACTTCATTAACCTCTATTCATTTTTACATTTATATCCTTATAATTTTTATCATATTATTGTTATTATTGACGCTTCTTTTATTAGCACATCTTATCCCTATTAACAATTTCTGTTATAATTTTCGTCAGGTGAAAATAAAAAGAATTATTGTCCCTCATATGTTCGATTAAGAAACATATCTTTCTGTTGTTTTGAATGTAGTTTTGTACAAAAATGATCATAAGATTCTCTAATTAATAAAACGTTTTATGAGAAAAGAATGCAAATAAAAAAGTAAGGATAAATATAACAATGAATGAAGATTAATAACTTATAATATAATTAGAATGTGGTTCATCTATTAAAAATGCCATAGGAATATAACTACCATTTAAGTACACCAAAATACTTATAGGCCATTGTCTAGGTATTACCATTTGGCAAAATTCAGAAATAATCTAACTTTAATTTCAATCATATATATCAACGGACTCACAAGTACTATTCACTTATTCACGATCTATTTATAAGTTAAACAGATTATAAATTCTTCACAAAGAGAGGCTAGTTAAATGCAGTTTTTTTATGTTGAACTTATTTAAGGGAATAATTGATTAGTAACTTTTAGCTAGTTTGAATCATAAAATAAACTATTAAGAGATCATTGAGTTTAATATTATATATTTATAAGTTTAATGTAGTTATTTCCAAGCAAAAATACATAATTAGCATATTTTTAAGGCAAAACTTTCAAATTTAAGAAAATTGTAGAAATTCTTTCAAAAATAAATGATCACATTTGTGGCTATCTGCTAAACTTTTTGTATCCTAGTTAGTAGTTAAATAGGTTTAGGTCATAATAACATAAAATTTATTATCACAATGACATATCAGTTACAAATCACATAAAACATTACGGTTACAAAGACACAAAATGTTGATTATAATTACAAATTTAGTCACAAATCAAAAAATTTATATGTCATAACCTATTAATCAATCACAAATTATCAACTTAACCGATCGTAACATATTTATTGGTCACAATTTATCAAGTGACTGACAAATTACCTTTCATCTCCCTACCTCACTTTACCATTCTCGGTACCATCCAATCATCGTCGTTGCCTCAGATTTACCGAGCATTGCAGACACTCCCACTCCGCTCCATTCCATCTCTTCTCTTCCATTCTTTACCCACTTCGGCAACCACAAAGAGACAAAAAATTTACCATCATTGTAGCCTCCATCTCCAGCAGCAGTGCACACATCCACCTACCACTGCACCACCATGTAGATTAGCATATGGATGTCAACAAGTCGAGCCCGAGCCTAAAAATTTTGACTCGAGTTCGGCTCGATTAAAATGGTTAAGCTTTTTTACGAGCCCGAGCCGAGCTTTTTCTAGGCCAAAAAATTTCGGCTTGGGCTTTTTCGAGCCAAGCCGGGTAGGCTCGATTTTATTATTATCTTTTTTTTTTTGTGTGTGTGTCTAGCTTCCAGCCTTAGGGCAGAATTTTCTGGCTTAGTAAATTGCCTACCTTTTTAAGGTTGCCAATGCTGCCTTTTATGATTTTTTATTTTATTTTTTTAATTAAAGGCTCGCGGGTCGGCTTGGGCTCGACCCGTGTCCCCAAAATGGGGCTTGGCCCGAGCCTCGGCTCGATTGCTTTGGGCCACGAGCCGAGTCATGGGCTGTCCTAGCCGTCGAGCCTTTTTGAGACCCCTAAATTCGCATCACCACAAACAATACGTTGTACCATAGCCCAACGTTCCACCATCATTGCGTGTAGATCTAAACACCGTACCACCATACCACTATGTAGATTCGCACCACCACTCACAATTTGTCATCGTACCACCATCATGTAGATCTATACCCAAATTTAGCCACCAACATAATCTGTCTCATCCTTATCCAACACCTTGAACGCGTTATGGAGCTGGTGATTGAAATGATCTGACATCAAAGTGCTTGGACATTTGGTCAAGAATCGCGAAATATCGAATAGCGAATTAAGCTCTTTCCTCGGGGTTTATGGATTTGAGTTGAGCCTAGGTCGGGTTCTCCGAGTGAACGCATTAGGATCCCTAGCTTCGTAAGGGTGATCTTGCTATTGAGATCACTGCTAAAAGGCGTGAAGGCTTATTTCATTGATTACACTTTATTATCGCTCAAATCTTTCACCATTTTTGTAGAATTGGGTGGGATTGGGTAAACCTATTTTGAAAAGAATAATTTTGTCGTCTAATTACTGAAATGAAAAATAAAAAAGCATGCGTGGGTGTAACTTATTATTGATTCTATTCAACAAAATTTGAGACTAAACTTGTGTTTTTGTGGACTTCATGCCGCCAGCTTTTCATTATTCAGTGGTTCAAACATCAAAATTAGTTAAAAGTAAATACAATAGTCTACAAGGAAAAATTACAATAGAAGTCCTTAGAGTTGGTAAAATTAAGCAATTGAGTTTCATTCAGATTTTTTGTGACTTTTAGGTCGTATACCCTTTCAGTTTTGATGCAAGCAAATCTTTGTTGATTCTGATTCCACCTAAAATTGAATAAATCAACTATGTGAGTTATGAAAGTAACTTAAATAAGGAAATCAAAAAGAAAAACAAAATTTGAAGAATGAAGAACAATGAATTTTCCCTTTTTAATTCGGCTTAGAAAAGTCAATCAAGCACCACGAAGGCAGAAACAAATTGGAGACTTTTGTAGCCACAGAGATAGAAGCACACAAAGGCAGAAACTGGGTTTCAAAATGCACGTAGCAGGGGTCGATTGTTGTGATTTGAAAATGAGGCCAAGAGACTCCAATTTATAGGCAAGGGATAAACAAATATCCCATAATTTTTCGACAAGATAGAGTTCAAGAAAGTTGAAAATGGTTATCAAGGATAAGGATAGTGCAACCATCTAACTCTCATGTGAGAAAAGGGATAAAAATCCCTTTTTCAAATTATCTCCAAAATTGGGTATTTAGCACCTAGCCCAATGGGTTGATTTCCTCTAAATACTTAACAGGATTGAGCTACATCAACTGTGGTGTGGATTTATTAATATTCTTGAATCTCGGACTTATAGCCTATGAAGACAAACGAGCCTTGATTTTTCATCATTGCCTAGGGGTTATTTGGACATCGCTAAAATACCCAACAACCTCCACCTTGATGCCAAATCAACCTGCAAGCTAGATAAGATAATAAATAGCTTAAGGAAAAAGACTTACAAGTTTGTATCTATGTTTAGAAGATCAAGGTAGCTTTTAAACTTTGCAATGGGAGCACCTTAGTTCCCCATATCTGCAGGATTATATTCTAAAATGACTTTTTCAAGTTTTACCAATTCTTAAAAAACCATATCTCTAATGAATGCAGTCTAACATCTATATATTTAGTACATTCATGAAAGACATGATTTTTGCATGGGTGAATAGCAATTGACTATCAGAATATATTGTCACATTGTAATTAAAAACACCAAATTCATTTAATACACCTTTAAACCACAAAGATTCTTTAAACGCTTCAGTAGCAGCAATATATTCTGATTCAGTAGTGGATAATGCAACAATATGTTGAAATTGTTATTTCCAGCTAACACATGAATTACACAAAGTAAACACGTAGAAAGACATGAATTTCCTATTATCTCTGTCACCAGCATAATTATCATCAGTAAAACCTTTCAATTTTACTCCTTCGATACTAAACTTATGTATCAAGTTAGTATTGCATGTTCCTTTCAAATATAAACAGCCATTTTAAAGCTTTCCAATGTTTGGGACCAAGGTTGGACATATACCTGCTAAGTCTACTAACAGCAAAAGCTAAGTCAGGTCTAGTACACACCATTAGATATATCACAGAACCAATGGAATTTGTATATGGAATCCTTTTCATTTATTCTTCTTCCTTTTCATTAGCAGGTGATTGTTCTTTAGATAATACAAAATGATCAGCTAAAGGCAATGTAACGGGTTTGCATTCATTCATGCCAATTTTTTTTTTTTTTTCAAAATTTTCATGATATATGGAGCCCAATGCAAAATAAAAATGAATTAGACTTATCTCTTTTAATTTCCATGCCTAAAATTCTTTTAGCATTACTTAGGTCTTTCATATCAAATTCATTACGCAAAGTAGTTTTTACATCATTTAACAACTTCAAGTTGGGACCAATCAAAAGCATATCGTCCATTTATAGCAACAAAAACACACAGTTATTTGCATTACCTTGATAGTATAAACAATGATCAAATTCACTCCTTTTAAAACTAACTATTCGAACAAACGAATAAAAAAGTTAGTACCATTGTCTCCGAGATTATTTTAGACCATACAGAGAGCGTTTATGAAAATACATATGATCGGGCTTTTGTTTATTTTCAAAACCCTTAAATTGATCCATAAAAATCTTTTCATCAAGTTCTCCATGCAGAAAAGCAGCTTTAACATCAAATTGTTCAAGTTCCCAATTAAAATGCGCAACTAATGCAAGCATAGTCCTAATTGTGGTATACTTAACAACTGGAGAAAAGATTTCATTATAATCTATCCCTTCCTTTTGCGTGTAACCTTTGGCCACAAGTCTAGTCTTAAACCTTAAAGCCTCTCATTTGGTAATTTACTCCTTAATTCTAAAAATCCATTTACACCCAATAGTAGACTTTTCTTTAGGTCTTGGGATTAATTCCCATGTTTGATTCTTATCGAGAGAATTTATTTTTTCTTTCATCGTTTTCACCTAGTCCTCAGATTGTTCACTCCTCAAGGCTTCTTCAT